AAAAAAAAAAAAGATAACGACAAATTTTCTTTTCCTTTTCCTTTTTTTTTTCTTAGCTATTCAATTCAATGACAAACAGTTTTACTCTACGGTGTGTTTTTGGTTTCCCTGAGATGTTTGTAATCAACTGAACGTTGTTGGTATGCGATACAATAACTTTTGGTTTTTCATCCAATACCATCTCTATGGTTGTCGTTATCAGCACCCGATTACAGCAAAAAAAAAGGAAAAAAAAAACTATCATCGATTGTTTCTGTTTTAGTTTCGTTGTAGTTACCACATATACCAACAAACAACTAAAGCACACTTTTTTGCCGCTGCTACTACTATCGATGTCGTTGCCTTATCGTTCCGTCTCTCTCTCTCTCTATGCGTGTGTGTGTGTGTGTGTGTGTGTGTGTGTGTGTGTGTGTGTTCGCTAAGATTGAATCATTTCATTGATCTAAATAGTTTTTACGTCGCAACTATGTTGGCAGAAATGAACAGTGTATTCAGTTTATTATTGGCCATCATCCACTGTTTCAGCTAACACCTTAGTGGTAAGCGGCAATAGCGGTTACAACAGAACAAAAAATATTATATCAAATAAATCTTCCCAAACAATCAGTAGTTGTTAACTGATTAGCCGATTAAGCGATACAAATATCTGCTCCTCCAACGAAAAAAAAAAAAAATTGTAGAAATACCTAAATAACCTTCCTCTAAAACTCATAAAAGTAAGAAGACAGAAGAAAAAAACACAAAAAAATTTCCTTTGTTTTATTGGTATAAGTGTTAATGATTTGTTTACTCAATTCGTTGCTTCTGTCAATCAAGAGAAAAGGTGAGGAAAAGCATTAGAAACGTTCTCGTTAACTTTTTTCTCCATCTTTTCCGATTATCATCACCATCACCATCACCGTCAACATCACCAACATCATCATCATCTAATGTAAATTAATATACTTCTTCTAATTACACAGATATATAGTAACACGTCAAATAACAGCCACAGAAAAAGAAGAAAAATACGGAGTCAAGATAGTTTCATTTTTTCTTCAATAGACACAAATACACCGCACTCAGCAAAAATTAACATACAAAGCTTCAACAAAACTGTATTTCACAAATTATCATATACGTTTTCATTTATTTACTGCTTTTTTGTGTTTGTTTCCTTTTCAACTAATATATACATCTGAATTTCGATCAAAATGCAAAAATTAAAAAATCAAAGCACATCAAATCAAATAATGACTTTAAACGAACAGACATATATTTGAAACTTCATTTAACCGGGTACTTTATTAACCTAAAAAAAACTGTTTAATATTATGAGTTCATCGAAACCTAACACATTTTTGATAACATTTAGGCAGTTTTTCATCATCTTTTCGGTTCCACTCCAAACAGTAATCATCGGGAAAATTACCAACAATTCAACAGGTAACACTCATAGTTCAGACAAACAATCAACGAATGCAAAAACATAAGCATACCAACAGCTGTAACTGCAACAACAAATTTACTAGTCTACAGTACAGATTCTATCGCCGCTGTTTGCACTAAGATACGGTTCATCAAAGCAAGAAAAATTCATCAACCTTATCGAAAAAGTTCATTGACGTCCTATCGGATAAACAAATTTTTACACAGAAACAATAAAAGTAACAACGACGAAGCAAAAAAAAAAAAAAGGCAAAAATGTTACAGTGTATTTAACAATATGATACCTGTCGATTTGTTCTATAATAATCACTGTTTTGTGCTTGTTGCAAATTCCATCACCGTTTCTTTTTTCACCCCTTCCCCAGCTCCAGATTCCTGGAACCCTCAGTCTCCCTCCTGACAATCCAACCGTCTAAAAATCAACCTATCCACTTATCTAACCATCCATCTAACAATCTACATTCAGCCATCTCTCTCTGTCTGCCTACCTATTTAGTTATCTATTTAACCATTGTTATTTGTTGTTACAAATCGACATACATCTTAGTCATTCAGAGCGGAAAAAAACTGGAGAAAAAAAACTAATGACAACTATTAAAAATATTTTTTTTTGGAATACGATATGTTGAACAAAAACAAAAGCTATGCCTTTTTCAACGATAAACAGTGCAACAGATGAAAATGTGAAAAACAATTTCAACTTCCTTAAAATTAATGACGAAACAAAAAAAAAAACAATGTATTTCTTCTTCCCTACACATTCTTTTGAGAACTATTCCGTTACGTAATCACTGTACAGAAAAAGAAATGGAAAAAAAAGAGTTTTTATAGTATTCACAGAATGATGCAAGCAGAAAATGTTCGAATAGTAAATGAATACTGGTGAATGAATATTTTTTGTATGTAGAATTTTGTTAAATAGAAAAAAAAAAGAAACGAAAAACAAACGCTTATATTTCATTGAATTACTGATTGACCGAACTGAATCAGCGGAAATCTGATGAATCATTGACAAGTGAGTCATTCAGAGAGTAATTAAATACGTGTGGCATATATTCTGCTGGTAACAACAGTTCATACCGTCTTCAGTTCACTGATTTTGTGGTCTCTAAATTCAGGCAAATCATAAGTTACTGTACGTCCAACCATAAAAAACCTGTGAAATTACTGGTATTTACACAGAACATAAAATTCCAATGATTCTGTTGAGTGCTTCAAAAACACTGCGGTATTTCAACAATGACACAGTAAAACAACATATCGGTCAGTTAGTTTTGTCGTTTAAAAACGATTATTGCCGCTCTGAATCAACAATTACAAATCTTTGACCACTTTAAAGAACTATCTAATTACCGAACAAAGTAGATCAAAACAATAAAAATGGAGTGTAGGAGGTGGGCAGAAATTTGCACAATCAAACTAGTGGTATTTATAGCAAAAAATTCTGCTTTTGTTTACTCTTTATTATCCATTCAACAATAGTGCTATTTCAAAAAAATATTTTTGAAAAACAATTGCATTTTTCTTCACAGCCATAACAGTGTCAGTTTTTGAATAGCGCAACTGGAAAAGAAAAAAAAAGAACAGAACTGTGAGAACTAGATATACCAAAAATTTATGTACTGTTCAACAGATCGGTATAGCACTGAGAAATGTTGCTTTTGTTGTTGTTATTGAGCGAGTGCAAAATTTGTTTCATTTAATGTATCAAAAAGATTTTTGCAACAATGACGGTACACCAAATTCCAAAAAAATATTACAATTTTTTTCTTTCTACAGTGGAGAAGAGAAATAGCGAGGACTGCGGAGAAATGGATGATGATGTAGGAGCTGATGCACGTAAGGACGATGGCGATGAATGAAAAGATGGAAAAAAAAAGATAAATTGAAGGATTGAACAAAAAATAAAACAATCTATAACATGGAAGTGGAGGATAAAAAAAAATGAGGACAGACTGAGAATAACCACAAATTTTTATCACTAATGTTTGCCAACCTTTGAGGAATATTTTTTGGACATCAATGACAATGTAATTCCGACAAAAACTGTTAAACAACCTCTTTGTTCCTCCTCCGCACCTCCCACCCCTTCTCTCACAGTCCCTCTCTCCTGTGGTCGCTTCTGCTGCTTTCTCTTAGCGATTAATCAAATTTCTTGAGAAGAAATTTAATTGAGAGGTTTTTTTGTAGTTGTTTCACTTTAATCAATTAAAAACTGCTGTTGCTCTGCGGTCGATTCCTATTGGAACCCCAAAATACTTATTAATGTATAAAGATGTATATTGATGTTCCATAATTATAAATTTCCGATCGAAAAAACTTACAAAACTAAAAAACAAAAAAAAGCTCTCAGCAAAAACAACAATGACACTGACCATCTATCACAAAGTTAAAAAAAGATCAGGAATTTTAACAGGCGAAAAAGTAGGAGATCAAAATATTATTCTGACAACTCTTTTTTGCATAATTTTGGACAACAACAACAGAAATGAAATAAGAAGTAATTAATTTTAACGCTTCAACTATACTGATGTCAATAGAGAGAGGAAAAAGAAACAAAAGAGGACATAAAAAAACCGAAATACAAATGTTCATTTATTCAACAAACATTTTTTATCTAAAAAAAGAAGAAACAGATTAGTTGCTGTTTTTTATCACAAATTATTGCCAGAAAAATGACGTAGTATGACAGAAAAAAAGTTGAAAGACAAAAAAGGATTTCTTTGACCAACCGAGATAGATTAGGCCACAAAAAAGAGAAAAATGACCGATAAACTGCTGTAAAAAATGTAAAAAAAAAGAAAACTAACTGGAAGACATTCCTGATAATCAATGGTTTTCGGATGTCATTCTCCAACACAAAGGTCTGTTGAGAAGAAACAGAACCCGGACGATCTTTTGCTGCCAAATTTTTGCCAGTTATTGGTATTTCATGTTGTGACTTTCCTCCCGGATAGGCCGTTTTTGATTGTCTACCACGACTTAGCGATTTCGACACTCGAATCTGTAACTGTTTTCGCGGTACCGCGCCCGGTAACACCAACAAATCTTCTTTGACCACAGATTCCGGTAACTCCTAAACGACCAGCATTAGATTATTCCGACCAAACTATTCCTTAACCCATCAACGAAATAGGCAAGAAATATTTATGAAGCCAAATATTACAATTGTATCCTGTGCATAAGTAGGTTTTCTAAGTGATTGTGTTTTGTTGTTTTTAAGATCGCTAAGCAAAGCTAGAAACAACAAAAAACATTCTATGATATAAAAAATTTGGCTGTAGAGTGCGTGAAAGGTTAAAACCATCCTTATGTTCAGTTGTCTATTCACTTATTCACTTAATTCTT